TGGGACTGACCTGGCCCAGTATTGGGAGGGCTGGCCCCCAGTGTGGAGCCCCCACAGCCCAGTTTGAAGGACCCTGTGCCAGTATGAGCCCTCCCACACCAGTATGGGGACCCCACCCCACCAGTTTGAGGGCACTCCTCCCAGTATGGAGCATCCCCACACCAGTTCCCACTGGGAAAAACTACGGAAAACCCCCAATTCGCCCTGAATTCCCCCAAAACAGCCCCATGGGGTCCCTGCTCTGTGCAGGCAGTGCCTGATCTTTGCTCCATCTCCCTCCTCAACTCTCCTGACATTTTTATTTCCTATTTTTCCCAGGTTTTTGGCTGGCTTTGGGCCACTTCAGCCCAACATCCCCTCCAAATTTGGGGGAAAAATATTCCAGCCAGCCTTTTCCTCCCATCCCTGATGGCTCCAGGAGAGGAACAAATAAACCCCCCCCACCTGGGCCAACATTTCTTTCCTAAATCCTCTCCAGGGGGGTGTTTTCCCACCTCAACAGATGGGAGAACGTCGTGGAAAACTGAATTCCTTCCCCTCATAATCACCCGAACCATCAAAATCAAGTTTCAATGAATGAAATATTTCAATTAAATGTTTCCAGAGGCATCGGAGCTGCTCTCCAATGGAAACTTTTTACGGATCATTTATTCTCTCCTTCCCAAGAGCAAAGTGCCAGGGGAGGGAAGGAATTCCTGGCTCACCTTCCCTGTGGGAATTGGGAGCGCTGTGGGCTCTGGAATGTCGGTGCATCCCAAGGAAGGGGCTGGGGGCAGGATTGCTCCCTTTCCAGAGCTGTTTCCCCCCCTACCCCCCCCCAAAAATCCAGTGGGGATGAGTGGAAAGGGGGGAACAAACATCTACTTGCCCTCCTCTCCCTCCTCCAGTGGGATTGTGCAGCCACTTCCAAGGAAACCTGTTCACCAGGATGGAGCCAGTGCTGGATCATCGCCAGGAGAGCCCTCGGGGGGAGCGGGATGGAGGGTTGTGTTTGGGCTCCCCAAAATGTTGTGTTTGGGCTTTTGGGGGGCTTTCTTTTCCCTTGTTTTTGTGTCCCTCAGGGATACCTGACACCCCCTTCCCCCAGGGCAGGGAGCTGGAGTGGGATCATGGAATCATGGGATCATGGAATCCCAGGCAGGGACACCTCCCACTATCCCAGGGGGATCCAACCCGGCCTTGGACACTTCCAGGGATGGGGCACCCTCTGGAAAATCCATTCCAGGGCCTCCCCATCCTCACAGGGAGAAATTTCTTCCCAAAATCCCACCTAAGTCTCCCCTTTCCCAGCTGGAAGCCCCTCGTCCCATCCCTCCTTGTCCAAAGTCCCTCTTGGAGCCCCCAGGGAAGGAAAACACCCTGGAAAGGTCCTTCCAACCCGAACTGTTCCATGATCTCATGGAAATAAACAGGTGGGAATGCAGGAAAAGCTGCTCTAACCTGAAATAATTGAGGGGAACACCATGGAATCATGGAATGGTTTGAGTTGGAAGGCACCAAAAGCCCACCCCATCCCATCCCTGCCACGGGCAGGGACACCTCCCACCATCCCAGGTGGATCCAGCCTGGCCTTGGACACTTCCAGGGATCCAGGGGCAGCCACAGCTCCTCTGGGAAATCCATTCCAGGGCCTGCCCACCCTCACAGGGAGGAATTCCTTCCCAGTATCCCATCTCTCCCTGCCCTCTGGCACTGGGAAACCATTCCCTGTGTCCTGTCCTTCCATTCCTTGCCCCATGTCCCTCTCCAGCTCTCCTGGAGCCCCTTTTTGGGTGGTTTGGGGAGGTTTTGGTGTGGCTTTGGGGTAATTTTGTTGGGGTTTTGGGGTGATTTTGGGGGTGTTTGGGGGGAAGAATGACCCCCTCCTGCATCCCTGCACAATTCCTGGTTCCTGTGCAGCCACAGGGATGGGAGGGAGAGCAGAGCAGAGCCAGGATCTGGCCCCCATTCCCTTGTGCAAGGTGGATGGAGGGCAGGAGAGCAGCAGGAAAGCTGCTGGAAGCAGCTCCAAGGTCGGGAGAGAGGGAGGAAATCAAACCCCTCACCAGCCACAAGCCTCCCCCATCACTTGGGGCCCAAATTCTGGGCCGTGGGAAAAGGTGGAGTTGGCAACAGGGGAGGCTTTTGTGGGATTGAGGAGCTTTGGGAGACATTTGAACGTTGAAACACAACCCAACAGAGCCAGGACAGGGATGTGCAGCTTCTCCTGGGCCAAGTCACCCCGGTCCCACCCACAGCCCCTCTCCCCACCCTCCCAAAACCACTTCTGCGCCACTAAATTGTCTCTAATGAGCTCCCATTTCTTCCCAGACGTGATTTTCCCTCATTAAACCCATTTGAAAACAGTTGTGAAGCTCTTTAGGCATCACCCCCACGCAAACAGGAGCTGCTGAACCCGCTGCTCGGGGCGGTGATTGCTTTGTGGAGGGGGCTCATTTTCTCCAGGCATTTTGGGTTTAGGGGACACTTGATCAACCCTGGGGCTTTCTGGAAGCATTTCTTGCTGGTTCATTCAGCCCTGCTGGTGGCTGCATCCCAGATTTTGGGGATTTTGAAGGTGGAAAGGGGAAAAACTGCCGAACATCCCAAGTTTTTTAGCCTGGGGGTGCCCAGGTGATGGAGCAGCTTTGGGTTGGGGCTGCAAAACCTGAAGTTGTTCAGCCCAAACCCCCACAAAGTTTGACTCACATCACCAGTAACAGGATTTTGGAGGGTCAGGGGCAGTGTTTGTGATCCCTCTTTGTCCCAGACACCAACAGATCCTGCAGGAGCAGCCAGATCCAGGTGTCCTATGGGTCCTTGGTCCCCAGGGATTTGAAGCCCTGGGCTCTGCGGGGCAACTTGGAGCAGTTGGAGGACTTTGACAGTTGTTTTAAAAAGAACTTCACTCAGCAAAAGGATGTTCCCAGAGCCTTTCACGGGATCAAGACCTTCCAGTCAGACTATCAAACCACCTGGGTGTTGAGCTATTTGGTATCTTAGAGGTGACAACAGCCCAAGCACAGCAGCTACAGGGAAGGATTTTCAGTCACAACATTCACTGTGCAAACCCCAAAAAGTTGATCCAAAACCAGAGACAGTCAGGTTTTTATTCAGAGACCGACTGACAGCTCTGCTCAGGGTTCAACACTTTCACACCAGGATCCAAACTGGATCTTTTGTTGGGGTATCAAACTCAGTACTTCCACTTATGGAGACAGATGAAGAGATGTTGTGTGCATTTATCCTGAATCTTTGTCTTCAGGGAGGACAGTGGGGGGTGAGAGGAACAAAGCACAAACACAAGAAAACAAAATGGCTCTATAAAACAGCCTATGGGGAAAAAAATAGTGCCATGAGTAGAGCTGAGTAACCAGCCCATGCTGAAACTCTGAGCCCGAACAATAAAACCAGCAAATATTAATTGTGTGCATAATATTGATCCTTTCATCCTATAAAATCCTAAAGTCCCTCACAAGCACTAGGCACAGAAATCCATGGAACTCCACCAGAGACCTGCCAGGACCCCCGGTGTGATAAACTGACAAAATGATTGGGGCTAATTAAGAGAAAACAGTGTAAGGTCAATATGACCCGGAGAGAAAAAAGAAAAACAAATTGTAAAACTTAATTGGGCCTCTATAAAGAGATAAAACAAGTTACCTCCCTTGTACCTTGTGTAAGATTTATAGTGAAGGAATTTTGTTTAGTTAGCTAGATAATAGCACCCTTCTTAAAAATTTATAACTTTGTATAGATAACAAGGAAACATCTGCTGAATGTCTGACTTAACCATATGTAATGTTTATGCTTATGTATAATGAATATTCATGAATTAGTTGGAAATAAGTGTAGAACAACTGTCTTTGGGTGTGACAGGCGTTGGGGGTTGTTGAACCCCCTCCCTGATCACCCAGCGTTGAATTTGCTTTTATCATATAATAAATTCTAATTGGAAATCACCCGACTGGGTTTCTATTTCTCACCCCGACTGGGTTTCTATTTCTCACGCCCGGGAACACTCAGGAGCTCTCTCCAGGCTGCCGTCAGAGGGAGGGTCTGCAGGGCACGGGGTCGGACCCCCAAAATGAGAGGAGGGGGCCGAGCCCAGCGGGCAGGAGGGGTGGGTTTGCCAGAGCATTCCTGGGATGGGGGAGACCCCCCCCAGCCCCCCTCGTGCCCCTGAGACCTTCCAATCCTTCCCCACGGACCCCCCGAACGGCCCCGGGGACCCGGAACGGCCCCTCCGGGGGAGCCACGTGCGATCTCCGGCCACGCCCGACAGCCCCATGCGGCGGGGCTCGCGGCGGCGCCAACGTACATGGGTGCTGTGGGCGGGGCGAGGCTGCTGCGCGCTGGATTGGCGGGGCGGGGGCCGGGGAGGCGCGTGGTCGAGGGAGGCGTGGTCAGAGGGGGCGGGGCGAGACCGCGGTCGTCAAAAGGCGGCACGGGAAGGTGGGCGGGGGGCGGCTGAGCGCCGGGAAGCGAAGGTACCGGGGGGGGCACGGGAGAGCTGGTCCCGGGGCGAACCCCGTCGTGCCGGTTTCAGGTCGGCTTGCGTGGCCTCGGGCGGTTCCACGAGGACACGAGGGGCGGGTGTTCTGCTGAACCGGGGGGACCTGGGTGGGTGCGGGTTGCACCGGGACGGCGATATGGGTAAGGGGGCGTGGGTGCCCGTGATCGAGGGCGCGGGACGGCACTCCCGGGTGCGCTGTCTTTCTCCCTCCCGGTTGGAGAGTCCCGGGGCGTGCCCCGAGGTTTGGGGGTCCCGGGGAAGGGGTACGGGGGGTGCGTGGGGCTGCCCCGAGGTTTGGGGGTGCCAGGGAAGTGTTGAGCGTCCCCGGTGAGCTCCGTGTGCTCCCTGGTTTGGGGTCCCACGTGGGCGCGGGGTTCCCGCTGTTCCCCAGCCGGGTTTTGGGGGTCCTGTGTGTGTTTGAGCCCCCCCGGTGCTTCGTGTCAGGGGCTCGGGGGTTCCCGTGTGAGACCCCTCCTGCTCACTGCCTCCCTCGGCTGATGCTCCCAGGCTGTTAGGGCTTTCCCTGCCAAAGGGGGTCCCCATGAGGGTTTGGGGGTGTCTCCTGTCCTCTCAGCCTCTCTGTGGCTTTCCGGGGGTGGATCCTGGTTATTGGGTCCCAGAGGTGTCCGGGCTCAGACTCTGACCACCTTTGCTGGGCCCAGAATGAAAGGGTTCACCCTGGAATTTGGGGTGCCGACTGGGGTGGGGGTGAGTGTGGTTGGGGTGCTTTCCTCTCCCCCCTAAATTCTGGCTGGCTTTACCCTTTCCGGGCTGGCTGGTGATTCCCTCTGGGGTTGGGGTGAGGATGGGGATGAACTGGACCCAGTCACACCCCCCACGTTGGTGTGAACCCCCATTTCCCCCTCTGAGCCCCTTCCTGAGCTTCACCACGTCATGGGAAGCCACCCCTGTCCCCCTCCCCACGTCCCCTCCCTGTGTGTCCCCTTTTTGGGGGGCTTTGAAGCTTGTGAATTCCCTGGGTGCTGTTGGGGTGTTAACTGGTGGCTTAGGGTTTCCAGCCTGTTCCTTACCTGCTCTCTGACTCAGAGAAGTGCCTGCTTAATGATCAGCTTTCAATGCATGTTAAAATTAACCTCCCAATTCAGTACTTTTTGGGGCAGATTGGGGGGGCTGAGACCCCACAGTGGCACTGATTGTACTCTGTTTGTAATTCCCCAGTGACTTTCCATCCGTTGGAGGTGGGACTGCCTGGAGCAGTGAGTTCCCAGCACAAAGAAGACAAAGGTATGGGGTGGGGGGGTCTTCCTGAAGCTCCTACATGAGGACCTGGGGATCCTTCCCTGGGTCAGGACTGAGCCCCCCAACCTTTGGGGAGCTGTGGGGGGCTGGTGAAGAGCAGGTAGAGTGGCTGTTTTCTGGGCTGAGCTGCTCCTTCCTCTCGGTTTCCTCCTCCCACCCCCCCTTTTTTTCGTTTGAGCCCTTCAGCAGTAAAAGTTTCTTCAGAAAGTGGTTTTCAGGAGAAGCAGCGTTTTTGTGGCGTGTCCTCCTCCCACAGAGCCTGGGCAGTGACTCATCTTCCTCCGAGCCCTGGGTTAAAGGAGCACCAGCCATGTCGGGGACACGTGTGTCTCCTCTCAGGGGAGACAGACAGACAGACAGACAGACACCTCAGTGTCCTGTTCCTCTTCCTCGGTGCTTCCTCTGCGGTGCTCTGGGCTCTTGAGGGGCCTCTGTGATGGTTGGGAGGAATTTTTAACCTGCTCTGGGGGGGAAGGAAGTCGAGGCTGTAATTACTCATTTGAATAAAACCTCTTCTGCCTTCCCTGAAGATGTTAAAACAGAGTTAAACCAGGCCTGGGTGGGGGGTTAAAACCAAGTTCAGTTGGGTCTTCTTGTTGTGCTCGTGGAAGTGGGTTTATCTGGGGGGAGAGAGGGGGAAAAGAAAGTGCCAGGCTGAGGTGGGGCAGCTCTGTGCTGGCATGGCACGGCTTGGCCAGCCACCCCTGTGGCACCAGGGACCCGAGGAAGAGGAGAGAGGAAGGCCTGGCAGGTGCAGGAAGTGTCTGTCCTGCCTGCCCGGGGTCTCCCAGCGTGTGAACAGATCACTTGGGGGACCTCCCAGCGGACAAAGGCACAAAAAAGAGGTTTTTCACCAGGCAAAGGATGTGCCTCGGGTCAGTTGGGTGTTTGTTTTCCCCCCCATCCCACTTAAAATGAAATAACTGGATAATCCAGCCTCTTCCTCCCTTTAATAACTAACCCTGGGGAGGTGCTGCCCCTCGCTCTCCGTGGGCAGAGGTGCCCTCAGCAGTAATTTTTAACCTCCTGTGGCTGAGCCAAAGCAGAGCCAGCCCGGCCCAAACCTTCTATGGCTTGGGGAGAGGAAATGCTGGAATGGAAGGAAAAATCCCAGTTAAAGGGGGTCTGTCTGAGGGGAAAGGTGACACATCTTCACCTGCTTGTGTTGAGGGAGCAAACATGGGATGCTTGTCCCTCCACTGTCGAGGAGAGGCAGTGGTGTGGACTCACAGCAATTTTGTAAAGCTTGGGATTAAAATATGACACACACACTCTCCAAAAAAAAATGAGAGAAATGCAAATGCAGACACTGCTTAAAATGAATATTTTGGCCTACAATTGACTGCTGAGCATTAAGGTGTTAGTTCTGTGTATAAATTAATGTATTTATTAATATAATTAATAAGTTGATATAAAGTATTTATTAATAAATTAATATAAATTTATTTATCAATATAATTAATCGATTTATATAAATTCATTTATTAATATAAATCATAAATTAATATTCACTCCCAGAAATAAATTAATATAAACGAATAAATTAATGTGCTGATTCTGTGTATAAAATAATATATTTATTGATATAACTGATAAATTAATAAAATATTTATTAGTATAATTAATACATTAATATAGATTTATTGATTATAATTACTAAATTAATATAAGGTCGTAAGAATAATATAAAATAATATAAATAGATACTTTAATATAGATTTATTAATATAATTACTAAATTAATATGAGGTCATAAGAATAATATAAAATAATATAAATTAATAAATTAATGTGTTAATTCTGCGTATAAATAATGTGTAAATCCCTGTGGGGAGAATCCCTCTGGTTTGGGCTTTTTGAGTTGTATTTTGGCTCTGGAGGGACAACGGGAGGCCCAGCTGAAAACGGACTTGGAGAAGCTCCTTGTCACAGGTCCCTTCTAGCTGAGCTGTCCTATCTAAACATGAAAACTCCCTTTTTTTTTGGACAGGAGCCGTGTGCTGGTGCCTGGGGGGCAGCCCCAGCTCCTGCTGCCGGGGCTGGTGGAGGGAATGGTTCAAACCAAGGTGTGAGGGGAGCAAAAGTCCGGGGAGATGGGGAAGGTGTTGACCCTGAGGCTTTAAAGTGGAGCTTCTCGGGGGTGACCTGAGGAAGGAGAAGCCGTGGCTGGGGGGAATGGGCCAGGAGAGCTCAGAGTGGGGCAACAGGGCGTTCCCAGCACCCCTGACCAGCTTCCAGCTCCATCTCCAGCTGCTGACTCAGCTGCTCCTCAGGTACAGCTCCCTTATCTGGGCTGGTTAACGGCGCTATCAGCACAAACCTCGCCTTGTGCCAGCCGGGCTTTGCCTCTAATTCATGGAAACGGGGTGTAAAAGTGATGAAAAGCAGTACTTGGGACCTTTATCTGTCCCTCTGAAGCCGTTTCCTCATTGCCAGGAATCCATGGTGTCTGCCCAGGCCCTGCTGACGTGACTCCTGAGCTCTGCGGGTCACCGGGACGCCGGTGAGTGACTGTCCCGTGCTGGGAGTCCTCGTGCCTTCCTGCCCTTTCTCCCGAGGAGCTTTTGCTGCTTTCCCTCCCGAGGGTTCCCACACCAGAGCCCCTGTTCTCCCGTGCCTTTTCACCCTGTCTGGGAATGCCATCCCGCTCCCGGCTCCCGTGCAGGTGCTGCCCCGATTTCTCAATGCCAGGCTGCCCCCCACGCCAGCTCCTGCTTCCTCAGTGCTCCCACTGCTCCTCCCTGCTTGGGCAAGGAGCCTCCCACGATGGGCCAGCACGAGGCAAGGAGGGGGGTGATGGTTTCCTCGCCCACCTGGTGCCACCTCGGGTGGGTTCCCCGCCCACCAGGTGAGGGACGGGGGCTCTGGGGGGGTCTCTTAACCCTTCTGTGCCCTCCCCGGGGCTGGTGCTGACAGGGAGGGTTCCTCAGAAATGCTCCTGCTGGGGAGGCAGATAAGCTGCAGTCGGGTCTATATTTAGACTTGCTTAGTTCTGCGGAACGTGCCGTGTCCTTGAGCTCACCTGGGCGTCCCCAGAGGGGACAGCGAGTCCTGGCTGCCACGTGGGAAACACCAGCTGGGGAGCGCCTGCCTCCTTCCACGTGCCCCTTGTGCCCCCTTGGCCTGGAGGTTTGGTTCAGCTCAGGGTTATTTGTCGCCAGGTAAAGAGATTTTTGTTGTTGTTTCCGTAGCCCGGCTTAGGCTGAGTGTGAAGTTGCTGCCCAGTTCCCAGTCCTGAGCTTAAATCTCTGGTTTGGGAGCTCTTCCCTGAGGAGGAGAGCCCTCCTCAACACAGTTCTCCTGGTGTGTTGCTTTCCTTCCCTGTTTTCTCCTGGCACTGTGGTGCAGGCAGCTCCTGTCCCCACCTCTGCCTGTGCTCCAAGGAGAGTCCACCCCTTTCTGAGGTTCTGCACTGCCTGCTTGGACACTCAGGGAGTTCCATGGCCTGGTCAGTGTTGGACAGAGGAGGAGAAACCTGGGTTTGTGTTCTGCTGCTGCCCGGGGTGGCCTCTAGCACCGTCCTCCTTGTTGCACATAAAGGACAGGGCACAAAAATCGGTGTTTTGGCCCCGTTTGATGCTTGAACTATGAACTCTCAGGGTGGGCCTGGGGTCTCTTGCACACCCAGGGGCTCCTGTGGTGCCAGAAATGCTTCCTGCTGCTCATTTCACCTGTCACAGGTGGTGGAACTTCAAACCACTGAAGTCTCTTGTGACAAAGTGTCTGTGGCTGGTGGTGTGACCTCGGGTGCACAAACTTATGGGAGAGGATGGGAGGTGAGATCTGAGGGATTTGGGTGCCCAAATCCAGGGGTGATGCGAGACCCACTGGTAGGAAGGGGTGAGCAGCTCAGGGCTGGTGCTTTGCAGCCTCCTCTGCTCGCAGCCCCCTGAGTCAGAGCACGGAAAACACCTTTTCTGTGTCTTCCTGCAGCCCAGGCTGAGCACTGTGTGCTCCAGGGCTGGAGTGGGGTTGCTCCAGGGCTGGAGTGGGATTGCTCCAGCTCACTCCTGGCCAGGAGAAAAGCAGAATTACCCAGCAATTTCTCGGGAGAGAGGAACGACTTTAAACCCTGTGCTCACCCACTCGCTTCCTCAAGCAGCAGGAAAATTGCCAGGGAAGGAACAGGGCAGGGCATGGCTCTGCCTCGCTGTCACATGCCCTGCCTGGGCCCAGCTCCCCATTTACCTGTCAGCTTGTCCAGACAGGTGGGAGAAGCAGAGACCTGGGAGCCAACTCCTCTTTGTCCAATTCCTGGGACAGGGAATTGCCCTCCTGCCCTGGGAGAGCAGCCCAGGGGCTCAGCAGGGCTCAGCCTGGGCAATCTGGCCCTTCTTTGGGGTCCCTGATCTGCAATAACAGGGCTGTGGTTCTGCCCCAAAACCTCAAGGAAAAGCAGCAATTAATGGGAAGGTTTAACACTCACTGGGATTGTTTTACCTTCCACCTCCCTGGTGAGGGGTGACACAGGGATGTCCTCTTGGTTTGGTCTGACTTCTGGGTTTTCTCCTTGCTCTTTTTTTTTTTTTTTTCCCCTCCTTCTGTCTCAGGGGCTCTCTGTTAATCCCTGGCTGCTGCATTTCTAGTTGTCCTTTAATCAGCTGATAAAGATCTGCTGGAAAATCGCTGCTGGTGGCTCTTAAGGAGGCTGGAATTGCTTGGGAAGGCTTGGGCTGGAGGGAGGTGTTGTTGGGGGGAAAGGTGGGAGGCAGAAAGCAAAGAATTAATGCAAGTAATGAATGAGAGGGTGTCACTGCACCGAGCTGAGCTCCCAGAGCTTGTGCCCAAGGCAGGGATTGTCTCTGAGGAGCTGGGAGTTCATCTCATCCCTGGGGATGTTCACTTGTAGCTCCACACGTGCAAATACTCCTGGCTCTGGGATAACCTTGGAGATGACATGACTCGGGAGGGGGGGGAGGGTGTTTTCCTCCTAAATTGGGAATATCCCACTGTGAGGCTCCTGCTCTGTCTCTTCAGTGAAAGTAGGTCCTGGATACACTGATTTTTGAGTCCAACCTTGCCCAAAATCTGCTCATGGTGTAACTTCCCACTGGAACACAGGGGTGAGACTTCCAGTCCTGTCGTGCCGGATTTTGGGAGCTGATTTTTTTTTTCCCCCCTCAATAAGAGTCTTGCAATGCCACTTCTTGTTTGCTGTAGTGCCAAATTCCTGAGAAATCTGTTGGTGGGGAAGCCTCCTGCCTTTATCTAGGCCTTGCAACAAGGGCTGGTCAAGGCTTGTGTGTCTGTGGTGTTGGTTTAGGGTGAGTAATCCATCACAAATCAACCCCTCTCCGTCTCTTCCTGCTGCTCCAACTGCAGCTTTCTCCATGTCAGGATTTCCCCACCCTCATAAATAAAATGTCTTACAACTAATTAAGAAATAACTGAGTGGAAACGCTGTAGCTGGAGCGGCCAAATAGATGCAAGGGACTTAAAAAAGTGATTTGTGCTCTTTGATGAGGTGGGTTTGAGAGTAGCTTGGACACCCTGCAGCAAACATCTCCCCACAGTCTGCTCCCAGCACGGCTCAGCCAAAGCCACCAGGGCTCTGTTTCTGGGAATGTTGTCCCTCTATCACCTGGAATCCTCGTAAATGGGTTTATTGTGTCAAAGGCCACTGGAGCAGGTCGGCAGCCTCAGAAGGGCCCTATCTCTCAGCCTCTCGTTGATCTTTCCCACGTCCGTCGGGACTTTGTGAGTCCCAAGACCTTGAATCCTGGACTCTGGGCTGGTTCCTTGCACAGAGAGGAGCTGGAATGTCCTGAGTTGAGAGGGGAACCACGAGGATCATCCAGTCCAGCTCTGACCCCAAAAGCCCACTGGGTGTTTCCCAGACCCTCCTCGAGCTCTGGCAGCCTTGGTGCTGTGCCCACTGCCCTGGGGAGCCTCTTCAGTGCCCACCCACCCTCTGGGGGAAGAACCTTCCCCTAAAATCCAACCTCACCCTGCCCTGGCACAGCTTCACGTGGTTCCCTTGGGTCCTGTCGCTGCAATTTCAGATAGTCCTGACATCCAGGTGCTGCTGGAGAGAACCTGGCCTGGCTTAACACGTGCTTTAGGCAAGGTTTAAATTCCCCTCCTCAGCCAAGTCCCAGTTTCTCTCCCAAACCTGGGGCACACCTTCAGATTGCTGTTTCTAGGGCGGCTTCTGTAGCATTTTGCAGCTTAATCAGCTGGAGTTTTCCCCTCCCACCTCCAGCAAAAAGCCCAGGGTGGGCTGGAGGTGCTGAATGAACTGGTTTCAGTGTCCAGGTTGCTGGGGGTTGTGTGCTCCTGGCGTGGTTTCCTCTCTGGAGGGCGACAGAGCGAGAACCTGTTTGCAAATATTTCGAAACAGGGGAGAAGCTCTGAAGGAGTGTGGTATTTCCCACATGTAGGGACAGCTCCTTTCTGTCGGCCTTTCCTGGATTTTTTGGAATAGGAGAGGAAAGGGCTCCTTGGGTGCCCTTACCTTGGAACTGGTGATTGGGAAACAGAAACACAGGTGAAGCCTGGGAGCGATTTGGAGCCAGAGGAGGGGACAGTGGAAACCTGGGAAGGGCTCAGGTGACCCCAAATGTCACAGGGGGGGCATCTGTGGAAACAGTTGCTGCTCTGGCTTCGTTGGGGCAGAGTTTTCCCTCTGCCCTGTCCTTGCAGTGCCCTGCAATTAGCTGGGTGCAGTGGTGGTGTTCCTGGGAGGCAGAACGACGGGGATATCAGCCTGGGAATCGTGTTGACTAAGCTAAAGGTGGAGTTTCCATTTGGAAATATTGGCTTGGAGCAATAACTCCTGGTGATAAGAAGTGAAAATGAGGGAGGGGGGGACAGCTCTCACGTGCTGCTCCTGTCTGCAGCTAAAATTGAAGGGGTGGGAGAGGCAGAGACAGCAGAGGAGTTGTCAGATCCTGCACACAGCAGCTGGTGGGGGTTTGGTGCAGATGCTGGAAAAGCCCCTGTGCCCAGCCAGCTCTGCCATCCCTCCTGATCGCTGTCCTGGAGCCCTCTGAGTTCAGGCACAGACCCTGCACGTGGAATTCCTGGTCTTTAAGTTCCAATTCAACCTCAGTGGGTGAAGGCAGCTCTGGCTGTGGCTGCAGGGAGCAGGGACGTGCTGGGAAATGAGCGTCCACTGCATCCACGTGAGCAACAAACAGAGCAGCAGCTCCTCCTGAAGTGCCTTTGGTAGCTCCAGACTTGCTTTTCGTTTTCTCTGGGATGTTTTTTTGTTGGTAGGTCCCAGAAGCAGCTTAGTCAGGGCCCTGTGGGTGAGGCTCAGGCTGAGCTGCCCCAGCCTGTGGGAAGTCATAAAACATGGAAAAAACCCCTCAGGGGGACAAACTCTTTCTGTACTTTGTCCCTCCTTCTCTCCTGAGCTAATGAACACTCAGGGCAGGGTCAGTGCTGGCTGAGAGCATGAGCAGTGTCTCCCAGAGCAGCTCTCGGGGAGCTCTCTGCAGCCCCCCCTTCCTGCTCCAGAAACGCAAAATTGTACATATTAAGGCTTAATATCAAATATTA